GGCAGGGTGGGGCCTGGCCTCATCCCTAATTCATAATGCGCAGTGATAGCCCGCCTGCAGGGTCCTGCCGGGTCGCATGCATATCCAGTCAGGGCGCCCATCACGCCGAGAGGAGGGAGGGGGAGGGGTCCCCAGCCTGCTCCAGGCCAATTAGTGCCTTATGGTGGACGGCCCTGCCTCGGCTCGAGGGGTGAGCGGAGGGTCTTGGGGGCCCCGGGCCCCTTGACCACCAGTCGGGGGGTCCCCCAGGCCAGGGACCGAGTCAGGCAGCAGGCCGAGCCGATGTGGGTCAGCGTGTTACCGATTCACTGCATCACGAGGCCCACCCCGCCCAGCAGCCCAGCGCGCCCCTCCAGACCAGATATCTGATCGCTCGAGTTCACTGTCCCGGCTCTCGCATAATAGGCATAATACAGCACACGGATAAAAAGGACACGCCATTTCCGTTACGTTAAGAAAAAAAAAGTATGGTGTTTGAGCTTGTGATGAGCAGCATGCCCTCTCACCCACTCTCTCCTCCAATGAGGCCACCAAGTCATGTTCATTAACGGCCTCTGTAAAGAGCAGGGGGAGGAGCATGTAAACGACCTAACCACACCACCTTCGCCCTCTTTCTATTTTTTTTCCGTTAAATTCGTTTTTTGCCGGGAGACAAATCGTTTTACGCAGGAAATTGGCTCAATAAGTGCACGGCGCGGGGCGGGGGCAGCGCTGTGGAGCTCCTCGAGCGCGCGACGTCTACGACGGGGAGGAGGCGCGTCGCAGCAGTCGTCGCCGGCCTTGATTCGCGGCTGTCAACCTGGCACCGCCTCTTTTTATTTTGTTTTTCAATTCTCACCGTGACGAGCCCACAGCCCCGGCCGGCGAGGCTCAGCCGGCTCAGCCTGCGCGCCGACATTTCCATATTTATTTCCTCATCACTCGGCCGTTACATTTCTCATTCATAGAATAAGACGGACCGCCGCACCGCGTCAGACTGTTGCCCGGCCGCTCCGAAACTTAAAGGGGTGGGGAGGGGGGGGGGGAGTCCGCCGGACGAAATTCACCTCATTGCAGGGATACCGCCGCGCTGTCCATATCGAGGGGTACTTCACTATGAATTCAAGCCCGCGCCACGTACTGCACACGTTTCTGTGTTTTCTTGATTTTTCTTGACTTTTTTTTCTGATTTTTTGTTCTGATTTCTTCTGACTTTGCGCACCATCTTTTTAGACCTAAAGTTTTCCTTGATTTTTGTGACGTTTTGTGATTTTGATTTTGAAGGGCGTAAGCCGTTTTTTTTTTTTTTTAAGAAGTGAGGTATCCCTTGATTTACTGCGCTACACGCTGCACATCGACCTCCGCGGTGTGCGTACCTCTCCAGGTCGACGCCGACGACAAACATACTACATCGAGGAGCTGCTGAGGTCACCCAGCAGGGGCGGCGGCGGCCCTGTGCGCCAGTCCAGCTGCCGGCCGCGCTGCTGGACAACCCCCTGGACCCAATAAGCCCCTCCAGCAGCTGTCTCCAGGCCGCTCCAGGCCGCTCCAGGAGAGGGGGGGGGGGGGTGGTAGAAGGGAATTAATGGAAAAGTGGCGGTCCAGGAGTAATAAGGTGGCGTCCGTCTGTGCGGGGCGCGACCCACCGAGGGATAAGGGACGCAGCATCCATTCCACCCCCTTGTTCTCTCCCCCCTCTGCGCGCCGACCCCTAACTCCCGCCCTGCACGCTTTTCTCTCCTCATCCCCCAACCCCCCGCCCCTTTTTTTGGCAGTACTGTTCCAATTCCGATAGGCAGTATTTTTCTCCTTAGCTCTATGTTATCTCCTTGGCCGCCTTCCCATAGCAGCCCGCTGTACAGCCCGCCCCCCGTGGCCCCGCCGACGCCGCCGACACACCCGCGAGGCAGCTCGGGGCCGGACCCGAGAGGGGCGACGGGATGAACGAAGCACGGTGATCGGAAGCAAACCTTAGGGGCCTCTGGCTGTGTGACATGCTGTTGTTTCTTTTGTTTTTTGCAAAATGCCAACTATCGTCAACTCGACACCGTCAACAAGGTGGGCCTCTCCCACGCTAGCCCGTAGTTGCCACCGCCGTGTTGAGAGCGGGAGTGTATGAAAGGGTGAAAGGATTCGCGGTCCTATTCGGGTGAAACGCTGGACTGAGCGCGCTGCACGGAGTCGTCATCCACCGCGGAGGAGCGATGCGCGTCCTTGCCTGCCTCGCCCCTCCCCACCTCGCCGCGCCACGCCACCCCGCGACCTGACAGCGCAAGACGTGTGCTTGGCAGGGCGCTAGCTCAGCGCCGCCATAGCCCCGCCTTTACTGCGCTCGTATTTTGAAATTCGATTGATTCTTTTCTCTCTCTCGCTCCCTTTATCTCGCCCCAACCTCGCCAGTGCCTCGGCTCGGTGAGGCCGGCACCCTCACAGTGCGACGCGGGTGGGAACTTGGCAAAATGACAAGAGGGGGCTGCATATTCCGCGAGGCACTGTCGCACGCGGCGCGCGGCGTGCGGAGGGAGGGGAGAGTCGGCGGCGCAAAGTCCACCAGAAAGCTGAAAAGAAAAAGAACTCGTTAAAAGCGCCTGGCAGTAGTTGTTGCCCTTCCAGGAATACCACCACAGGAAAGGATTCAGAGAAGGATTCGCCGAGTCACGCTGACCTTGCAACACTGAATTTGCCTTTCTGCTTTTCCCTGTGGTTGGTGGTGGCAAATCCGTTAGTGGTTCACTGATGTAGACTCTTATTTCTTTCCAAAAGAGAGGTTTCGGTAACCAATGTTTGGTGACGTGTCAGCAGAGCAGTACGCTAGCTGCGTCTGCGAGGCGCCGGTACGGTCCGTGGTCCGGGGGTGCTTCCGCAATGGACTCGACGGTCGCCAAGTAGGCCTAGGCCGTCGTCGTGCCAAACGCATTCTTTCAAATAACGCGACGGACATCCTCCCTTGCGTCATCGTGGTGTCGATTAAGGGAAAGTACGTGCGGAGAGAGGGTGGCGCTGGCGGAAGAAGAGAAAGGGGAAGGGGAGAGGCTGAAAGAAAAAAAGCGACAAGCCAAGCTCATACCTGGCAAAAAAAATCGCGACGAAATCTCGTTGGTTGTTAATTCCTGCTTGTAATTTTGTTTTAAAATATCACTACTAGTAAACATTGAAAGATTGTCATTAAACGTGCTTTCGAAACCGAATACATTTAATTACAATATGACCCTGAATATGATACTGAACAGAAAGTCGCTCTCGCGGATAGAGTCAAAGCACCTTGTTTGCAGGCATTTGAAGCAGAGGAGACTGAGTAGAGGGTAAGGGGGAGGTTGTTGTGGGGGGCGGGGGGTCTGTCAGGGTGGGCACTAGGTCGTGCACCCCACCCTCCCTCCCCCCGCGGCGATGACATCCTCTCAAGATGGAAATGACGCGTTTTGTTTCGCCCGGCGCGCCTGTCGCCGGCAATACTCCCCCTCCCCGCTCCTCCTCTCCTCTCCAAACGCGGAGGAAAAAAGGTGGAAGGACATGCCTACTTCAGGCTGGCGTGGCGGGAGGGGTACGAGGGAAGGGGGCAGGATGACACTTTACTAACAACCACCGCTTGCTGGAAGTGTCGAGGTGCCCCGCCCACCCTCGCCTTTTTTGTAAGCATCTTCTCCATACTGCTTTTGCGTCTCTCGCTCTCCGGCGAACGCACCTTGTCGTCGTAGAAGTACGACTAAATCTCAAAGTTGGACGACGGGCCCTTCTCAGTGACTTATGTCGCGGAATTATTGAGTTGGGTAATACAGGCACTATAAAGGTAAAAACTGCCCCCCCCCCTCCCACGCTGAAGTGCAGTGGCTCATGCGCTCTGCGCTCCTAGAACGCACCTCCAAACTCGCCCAAAACGCTGCAGCAAGCCCCGACGCGACGGGGCGCACGCGATTTAAAAGGAAAGAGGAGGAAAAAAAATAGAGGTTTCCCTTTTTGCCGCAATAAAATATAACTGTTAGTTTTTCTCTCTATTTTTTTTCTTGCGTTGAGGCGCCCTCTGTGCTCCTTTACCCCTTTCTATCTCGTAACCTTGCTCCGTCGCCTCCCGCCCCGCCCCACCCCACCCCGCCACGCCACGCCACGCCACGCCCCGCACCATTCCTTATCCAATGCCCCACATTATCCCCATACGATTCTGTGTCTGGCCGATATCATTCTTCCCCGCTCTCCCATCCCTTATCCCCTCTCCTTATCCCCCCGCTTCACAACTCTCTCTCTCTCCCTCTCCCTCCCCTCGGTCTGTTTGCGCACACACGGAGCGCGCCCCAGGCGATGGAAGGGTAGGCAGCCCTGCTGCGCACACGTGTCCGGAGCACCAAGTCGTTATCAGGCCGGGCCGCGAGTCCTCTGGCGCGCCGACCAGACCGACCGCGTCTGGAAGTCCAGACCGGCCGGGAATAGGAGTCCTCTTCCGTCTCGACTTTTGTACATACTCTGGACTTGCTCGGGACTGCACTAATGAAGTTCGTATCCTGAAGCGTCCCCCCCCCCTCCCTCAACATCACCACCACCTGACCCCCCTCCATGCAGCGCTTATTCCGTTCATTTCAGCCCTGTGTGATTTGGCTCATATTGCTGCGGTCCTCGAATAGTACCCGCAAGACGGGCAGGGGCGGACTGGACCGCCCTCCTTTGGGCAAACATGGTCATGTACGACGTATTTTAACAAATGTTTTGTTTTCCTTTGCAGCTGACAGGAGGAGACCAAACAATTAGAACCCATCTGTTGGCGGACAGCGATTCTATTAGCTGAAGACAACCGCTTTCCATCCACTACAAGATGAACGGACAGACACCTCCACACCAGCGCTCCGTGAGCAACAAAATAGTCCCCGGTGCAGATAACCTTGAGCAACATCACCGTCCTCACCAATTTGAGTGCACCGTGTGCTATAAATTATTTTCTCGGTCTGACAATCTGCAGAAACATCTGCGGGCCCACACAGGGGAGAAGCCGTTTGAGTGCACTGTATGTCACAAAACGTTTACTCAAGCTAGCAATCTTCGGGTACACCTGCGCACCCACACAGGGGAGAAGCCGTTTGAGTGCACCGTGTGCCACAAAAAGGTTGCAACAAGTTCCGAACTCCGCAGCCATCTGCGTTTCCACACAGGAGAGAAGCCATTTGAGTGCACTGTGTGCCACAAAAAGTTTGCAAGAAGTTCCGATCTCCGGGTGCATCTGCGTACCCACACAGGGGAGAAGCCATTGTGTGCCACAAAACCTTTACTCAAGCAAGCAGTCGTCGGGTACACCTGCGCACCCACACAGAGGAGAAGCCTTTTGAGTGCACTGTGTGCCACAAAAAGGTTGCAACAAGTTACTATCTCCGGGTACATCTGCGTACCCACACAGGGGAGAAGCCATTTGAGTGCACTGTGTGCCACAAAAAGTTTGCAAGAAGTTCCGATCTCCGGGTGCATCTGCGTACCCACACAGGGGAGAAGCCATTCGAGTGCACCGTGTGCCACAAAAAGTTTGCAGGAAGTTCCGAACTCCACATGCATCTGCGTTCTCACACAGGAGAGAAGCCATTTGAGTGCACTGTGTGCCACAAAAAGTTTGCTCACATTGGCAATCTGCAGGTACACCTGCGCACCCACACAGGGGAGAAGCCGTTTGCGTGCACTGTGTGCCACAAAATGTTTTCAACAAGTTACGAACTCCGGCTGCATCTCCGTACCCACACAGGAGAGAAGCCCTTTAAGTGCACTGTGTGCCACAAAACGTTTTCTCAGTCTTGCAATCAAAGGAGACATCTGCGCACCCACACAGTCGATAGATTGGTGCAGAGAACCACGTGCTGAAATCATCTTTAAGGAGCAATCGGCGGCGTCGTATTGTTTCCTGAACAGAAGGTGATCATACTCTCTGAAGCGTGTGTCACGACGATGTGTCCCTCTGTTGCAATTGTGCGGCAACACCTGTAAACTTCTTTCCATTTCAAATGTTCGTAGTATAATTTCATAAACTCAATTATAATTGAGACATGTTTTAAATTAGAGTCCGTCTTCTTGTGTAGCCAAACGATGAAAAGTAATTTAATAATTTGTAGGAACTATTAGTGGAAATTGTATTAACGCCCCTAAAAAGGCACACACGTGAGTTATATGTAATATGTAGGCCGACTTATCACGTCGTAATTGTGATGCAAATGTTACTCGTTTAGTTAACACGGGTGTTTTTGTTTCAATGAACTGATTTCGTTTAGGTCAAATAATATTTTGTCAAAATAAAAATAATTATATAATTAGATTAAATGCATAAAACGCATCCATAGTCTGTTAGTTTTAACATTTCACTCACATTATGATCTGTACCCACTCTGCAAATCTACACTCCAGCTTGTGGGACACTTTCATTACATGTACTGTGCGACAATTATAATTGTCTGTGTATACGCAGCTATGCACGCGCAGACAAAAGCTGCAAGCTGCATCAGCAAAGTTGCACACAACGGATATGGCACACCGGTCGGTTCTGAACATATGAGTTCCCTCGGGTGTTTGTGTGGAGGGGGCGGAGCGGGGCCGCGACCGGTAGCCCTTACCGGAGCCTTTGAAGGATCGTGCGCGGTCGGAGTTTGCTGATCGCGACGGTATGCAGGTATGCTGGGCGTTCTTCCCCGTGCCCCTGGAGCACTGGGGCGCGCCGTGGGCAGCTGGGGGAGGGGACGGGGGGCGCCTCCGCGGGGACGCATACAAGACTGTTAAGGTTTACTTTGTCTCCGTCCCGAGAGCGATGATCGTGAGCGGGTTGGAGACTGGCGGAGGAACTAGGGCTAGAGGGCCGGGCGGGGGCATCTTCTCTGCCCTGACTGTGCGTTGCCCGCCAGGGCCCGGCCTCGGCCCCCGCCCCGCGCTTGTGTTTGGACTCGAAACACTTTATTCGGATTGGCTCGCCCTTATCCGCCAGACGTCATATTGCCGACCCCCCGAGGGCCTTCTGTCCCCGCAACGTCCCGTTCAGAGCATTACGTGCTCCCTTTCGCTTTCTTTCTTAAATTCTGGAAGAAGAAAAGGAAACCAAGAAAATCTAAAATGGCGACCAAATCGATGCTTATAAAGCATTTCCCGATGACGGTGCCGGTCAGTAAATCCAGCAACACCATGAAGAAGACTCTGGTGCTTTTTCAGTTGTACGTCCGTGTTTTGTTTTTAATATTATTTTTTTTTTCAATATCCATTCGGTTTGCATTACGGGGAGCTCGGCGCCTGCGAGACTCCGGGTAGGCCAACCCGCGGTACACGCATGCACTTCAGGCGAGATGTTGCCTACCCATCAGGCGCTATGCGAGCTTGCAGGGTGAACTCGGCGACCGTGTAACGGCCAAAGACTGACGTTCTATTGGGGTGATCCCTTCATTGCTGCCGCGACCGTGTCCTCCCCCCCCCCCTCCCCTCCCCTTCTCGTATTCACGTAACCCGAAAAGGACGTACGACTGCACCCAGCGCTGAGCACAGACCGGTCGGCCAACTTGCTTGCGCTCCTCTCTGTCCGTACTTCCTCGTGCCAAACGGTGGGTGCACTTTGCCGCGCCACTCCACCGGCCGCGGCCAGCGCCGGGGCGCACAAGGTCGTCTACGGCCCCCACCGGCTCCAGGCTCCAGGCGCTCCACCACCGCCCGGAGAGAGGCAGTAGTTGGGCCGGTTCCACTTGAACGGTCTCCAAGACACTGCGACAACACACAGAGACTTGCCGCACTCTCCTTTTCTTCTTACCGCTCGCGCGTGTTCACAACAAAGTGGATGCTCTCTCTCTCTCTCTCTCTCTCTCTCTCTCTCTCTCTCTCTCTCTCTCTCTCTCCTCACCCCATTTGCGTGCCAATCGGTCCACCGCACCGCACTGCACTGCACTTGGACTGCGCGGGGCAGGTGTGGGAGACAGGTGAAAGGGGTGCTGGCCAAAAAAAATGGGGGATTAAGGATTTTAATTTTCAAAGACAGTAGTTTACGGATTTTTTTCCAGCTTTTTTCAACGTCTGAATTTTTTCAGAACAGTATTATTATTTTTTTTCGATTTTTTTTTCTGAAAAAGTTGGGACTCGAAAATCCCAAGTCGGGATCGGGATGTACCTTGCTGTAGGCAACGCAGTAGTAAAGTGTAAACACTTTGAATATATTTTTTTTTTGTTCCGTCAGACATAAAAACATAGCATATCAATTATTGTTGATAGTTTAAGTCCGTTCCTTTTGCCACCGCCCCTGAGACGGTCGGTACATCAAGCAGGAGCGAACGGCGCAGCAGCAAGGAGCCCAGCAGCCCGCAGGAGCGAGTCCTCCTCCTCGCTGACCGGCTCGTGTGGACGGGGTGCACCCCTTCCCGCCCCGCCACTGTATATGGCCCGACCATGCGGCGCCAATGGAGTTTTATGCCAGCCGGGCTTTGTGACACGTGGAGGGGGAGGGGCAAGGGGGGTTTCCTCGGCGCGTCTGACGCCGCCGTGAGAGCCGGGAGGGACAGCTGCCCAAACAGCAAAAGTTTGTTTCCTTCATTT